TGAGCACATGTACCCTATGGGGAAAAAAAAAAAATCACTAAAAGGGAAAAAAATGGAGGAGGAGAGTTCTGGAGATGGAGGGTGGTGAGGATTGCACAGAACGGAGAAACACACGAAGCTGCGCATGGTCAGGACTCCTGGAGCGGCATTCCAGTCGCTGCCAGACTGCCTGCACGGCGGTAGCACCCCAAGGTGGTATTTAATAGGCCATGCCGTCTAGCCTAGGCCCGGAATGGGCTTTACCTTCTAAGTCTCTCTCAATAACTATTTAATTTTATGTATTATTATTGTTTGTTTTTAAATTTGCCCAGAGAGAGAAGGGGAAAGTGAGAAAGCAAGCCGCCGGGTCCAAGACTCGAACTGCGGTCGGCCATGTGGGAGTCCAGCACGTTGACCACCACGCCACCAGCTGACTCATTTCTAGGTTTTTTTTTTTTTTCTTAACTATAAGGGGTCTTTAAAAGTTTTTGAAACAGTGCATGTTTTGCAAAATTATTTTCCCCACTAAAATAAATTCATACCTTGATTCCATTTTGTCGTGAACTTTTTCTTTTTTCCCTTTTAGAGAGGTTTTTGTTCCAGGGCGCATGTGCTCGCCAGAAAGATAGACAGGGAGAAATCACCCCCTCCCCCAAAGGGGATGGCCACACCACAATCCTTTTCTTCCATTCTCCTCTTGGGATCTTGGGCATGCTTGCACACACACCCGACGTGAGTTTTAAAACACCGGGTCCTGGACTCGAACCAGGATCAACTACGTGGAAGTCCAGCCACGTTACCCTTTATGCCCTCTGCTGGTCCATGTCATTTACACACCTACGGAGTCGCCACACCGAGCATTTCTCAGAACCTCGCTCTGGCTTTACCACGTGGCTGAACGTAAACATGGCAGACGGTGGATCTCACGTCCCCTGTAACCCTCCATCGGGTCGCTGTGGCTGTGGCTGTGGGCTGGCTTCTGGGCCCAACCGTGAGGGGTTTTTGTTTGTGTTGTTTTTCAAGAAATGGGGGGGAAAGTCTGGCAGGTGGCGTGGGGGGTGAGGCGCGTGGCAGGTGGTTGAGGGCACTGGACTCCCACGTGGCTGACCGTGGTTTGAGTCCCGGACCTGGAGGCTTGCTTTCTCACTTTCCCTGTCGCTCACTCTGTTCTTCTCTGGTCAAATTAAAATAAATAAGCAAATAAAGTTAAATAATTCTTTAAAAAAAAGAAAAGGTGGGGGAGGGGCTGGCCGGTAGCGTGGTGGTAAAGGCGCTGGACTCCCACATGCTGAGTACGGTTCGAGTCCCACACCGTGTGGCTTTCTTTCTCTCTCCAAAAAATTAAAATAAGGTTGGGGACCAGCAGGTGGTGTGGTGGCTAAGGCGCTGGACACTCCCACATGGCCGACCAGGGTTTGAGTCCTGAATCTGGTGACTTGCTTTCTCACTTCCTCTCTCTCTCACTCTCACCCTGTGTCTCTCTCTGGTCAAATTAAAAAATAAATGAATGAATAAGTAAGATAAAATAAATAGGTTTTTTTTTTTTAATTTAAAATAAGGTTAAGTAAAATAATTTTAAAAACAAAGCAAAAGGTGGTAGAGGTTAGAGCAGGAGCGTGGTGGGTGTCCGGTGTATGTGGAGGGAGTTCTGGATCCTTCCGTGTCCACACGACAAGGACGGGGCTCAGAACTGGTTGAGAAGCACTGCCCCGGGGTCCCCCACTTGGGGTGCAGCGCTGGCTTCCCCTGCTGCCCAGAGAGCGGTGGGGGCCTCCTCCCCGACCGGCCGGCCCCTCGCGTGGACGCTTCGGCCTCCGCCTGTCGCCCTGGGTGCTGGCTGTTCTCTTTTACTACTATTGACCCTGAAGGCCATCGAGGAGGGCACGCTGGAGGAGATCGAAGCACTGCCCCGGGGTCCCCCACTTGGGGTGCAGCGCTGGCTTCCCCTGCTGCCCAGAGAGCGGTGGGGGCCTCCTCCCCGACCGGCCGGCCCCTCGCGTGGACGCTTCGGCCTCCGCCTGTCGCCCTGGGTGCTGGCTGTTCTCTTTTACTACTATTGACCCTGAAGGCCATCGAGGAGGGCACGCTGGAGGAGATCGAAGAGGAGGTCCGGCAGAAGAAATCGTCGCGGAAGCGCAAGCGGGACAGCGACGCCGGCTCCTCCACCCCGACCACCAGCACGCGCAGCCGCGACAAGGACGACGAGAGCAAGAAGCAGAAGAAGCGCGGGCGCCCGCCGGCCGAGAAGCTGTCCCCGAACCCGCCCAACCTCACCAAGAAGATGAAGAAGATCGTGGACGCCGTCATCAAGTACAAGGACAGGTACGCGGAGGCGGCGGGCGGGCTCGGCCTGCGCCCAGACAGCCGCGGGGCCCATCCTCGGCGGGTTTCCGCGTCCGCCCTCGCAGGACTCCCGTGCTCCAGTCGGGAAGCACCGGGTGGGCGCTGCCGGCAGGGGACAGTGCTGCGAGGGCAGGTCCAGGCGGGGCTGCTGGTGTCAGGAGCGCCACATTTGAGAGCAGCCCCCAGGAAGGGCGGGGTGAAAGCGGAGGTGACGTGGGCCAAGAGGCCGAGGAACTACAGTGGCCTAGTGGGTTCGAGCTCGGCTGGCGGAGGAATGAGGTCTCCGCGGTGATGGGGGCCGACGAGGCCTGCTGGGCCACGGGGAGCAGCCGTGACAGGGTGGCTGGGCAGACTGGGTGGCTGTCCCACTGCAGGTCTCTGCCCTCACGGCCTTCCTGGTCCCCCCAGGCCAGCAAAGGTCACCTCAGTTGGGGCAGCTGTGGGTAGTACCTGCTGTCGGCCAGGCCCGCTCCGGGCAGTCGGGTCCCTGTCCTCTCTGACCCCACGGAGCAAAGACAGCACGCGGTTTCCCTGTCCCAGAGTCAGTGGACAATGACATCGTGTTTGTGGGGGCAGAGATGGTGGCAGTGAGCAGCAGAAGGAGTGGCGCTTGGCGGCTGTCCGTGGAGACGGGCGGGAGGCCTGCGTCTGGCCCCCGGCTCACTCGGCCTCTCTTCTCCGGAGTCTGTGTCCACGTTCTGTGGCACCTGGCCGGGACAGTCCAGTGGCTCCACCGTGGGAGAGTGTGTCCGCAGGAAAGGCGTGGAGGCGCACCCCTGGTGCCCTGGCAGGGCTCTCCCCGGGTGAGGTCTCAGCTGTGGTGGGGATGGCAGTGGCCAATATATCGGTTCAAGTTGTCCTTCAAAAGACACTTGGCAGGGACCAGCAGGTGGCGAAATGGTTACATTGCTGAATTCCCCCATAGTCACTGTGGTTCGATTCCCGGATCTGGCGATTTAAAATTCACAGTAGACGTGTGTGTGTGCATGTGCAAAATCCCCGGAGGAGAATGGAAGGGATGGGATTGCGCCGTGGCCTTCCCCCGGGGTGATTTCTCATTCTGTCTCTGGCCAGCACATGCACCTTATGGCAAAAATAGCTTGAAAAAGAAAACAGAAAAGACACTCCGCGCCCCAGCCGCAGTCGTGCACACTGTTGACGGTGCTCCTTGGCGGGCTCTGAGGCCAGTGGGAGCCTGGGTTGGACTCCCGGCCCACCCTACAAAGCTGAGCTTGCCTCTGCCCTCCCTCAGCCACACGGGAGGCTGGGGCAGCACGTTCCCCACGTAGCACGGCTCTCACAGAACGAAAACCAGGGTCAGCGATGTACAGGGATTAGGCGCTGCATCCCCCATGGCCACCTGAGCAGTTCGAGTCCCAGACCTGCTGACTGGAATCCCATGGGTGCGTGTGCATGTGTGTCCCAAATCCTGAGAGAATGGAGGCGGGATCGTGGCGTGACCGTCCCCCCAGCGTGCGTCCTCACTCGCGCTGTCTCCGGTAAGCACACACTCGAGCAAAACTAGGAACAAAGGGCCGCCCATAGCTCAGTGGTCGGGGAACAGTGCCTCTGGGCTCGGATCCCACAGCCAGCCCCAGTGGCTTCAACGCGGGTTCCCGACGGCACGGCGGGTGGCGTGGTTGGCATGTTGGACTCCTGCGGGGCTGCCCATGGTTCAAGTCCTCGATCTGGAGGCTTGCTTTCTTCCTTTCCCTTTCTCTCTCTGTCTCTGGTCACTGTAAAAAAAATAATAATAATAGTAACAAATACAATTAAATAAGTAATTCTTTAAAAAGTAAAACTATGTGTCTAAAACCCCCGCGGAATGGCGAGATAGAGGGGGTGGGACTGCTGCATGCCGCATGCCCCTGAAGCCTGACTCTCCCCTGTCGTTTCCTGACTCTCTGGCGAGTCCCTACACCTCTGGCGATTCAGAAATAAAAGGAGAAATTTCATTACTAGAAAAGAAACAAATAATATAATAAAAAGGAGACAGAGGCCGGCAGGTGGTGTGGCGACTAAGGGTGCTGGACTTCCACATGGCCAGCCGCAGTTCGAGTCCTGGACCTGGCAGCTTGCTTTCTTACTTTCTCTCTCTCACTTTGTCCCTCTCTGGTCAATTTGATTAATTGATTGATTGATTGATTGATTGATTTTTTTTTTTAAGGTTTTTGCTATAGGGCGTGTGTGCTTGCCAGACAAAGAGAGAGAAACAGAAGGTGAGAAATCACCCCCCAGGGGGGTTGGCCACGCCGCAATCCCTTCTCCTCCATTCTCCTCTTGGGATCTTGGGCACGCACACACACGCGCCCGGTGTGAGTTTTAAGCCACCGGGTCTGGGACGCGAACCACAGTTGACTACGTGGGAATCCAGCGACATAGCCATTACACCAACTGCTGGTCCCCTCTGGTCAAATTTAAATAAGGAAATAAGTAAAGTTAAATGGAATAACTAAAAGAAGAAGACGACATACTCGTTCAGTTAGCACATCCGATAATGTAGCACAGGTCAGTTGGGGAAGGAGCCCCCTTTCCAGACCCCGCCTCTGAGGCAGTCTGCATGAAGTCCAAGTGAGGTGCGGGACTTACTTATTTGAAATGTGGAACACTCGACTGGACACTTACTTAAAAATTGGAATGGAGCTGGTTCCATGGCCTAGTGGGTAAGGCAGCTGAAGCCGTGCGCTGACCACATGGTTCAGACCCTGGCCCTGGCAGTTGATGGACACATGCCCCACAGTCCCAGCCGGGAGGGCTACGGGACAGGGCGGTGGCACGGCCACACCCTTGAAGGGCCTTTCTCCTTGTTCGCTCACTGGCAAGCACCCACTGGCAATTTTTAAAAAATGCATAGGAAAAAAAAACAATGCATAAGAGCCCCTTTCGGCCGGAACCACCATCTTCCAGTAATTCACCAAAATGACGAACACAAAGGGCCGCGACACCTGTCCCTAGGGCGTTCAGAAAACATGGAGTGGCTCCTTTGGTAGCATGTTTGCAAATCTACAAGAAAGGGGGTCTTTTTTTTTTCCCGAGAAGTTCTTGCTATAGGGCGCGTGCACTCGCCAGACAGACAGACAGACAGAGACAGAAAGCGAGAAATCACCCCCCAGGGGGTAAGACCACTCCTCAGTCCCTTCTCCTCCATTCTCCTCTTGAGGTCTTGGACACGCACTCACACGGGCCCGGCATGTGTTTAAGCCACCGGGTCCAGGACTCGAACCGCGGTCGACTACGTGGGAGTTCAGTGACATAGCCATTACGCTAACTGCTGGTCCCAGAAAGGAGATCTTGTAGACATCAGGGGAATGGGCACTGTTCGAAAAGGAATGCCCCACAAATGTCTCCATGGCAAACTGGAAGAGTCTACAGTATTACCCAGCATGCTGTTGGCTTTGCCATAAACAGACAAGCTAGCCAACCTCCTCCACCCAGAGAGGCACACTTTCTGAGAACCAACAGGAAGGAGCCTGAGCTTCTGGAACCTATTCCCTAGGAATTCATGGCATGATGGGTGTTACACATAGACTAATCTATGGTCTATTAAAAAAAAAATCCACAGCAGCCAAGAAATCTTAACAAAAACGACAGACTCCCCTCCCTGCATTCTATTTTTTTTTAATCATTTAATTTGATTATTTGTCTTTATTTTATTTATTTATTTTGGAAGTTGACCAGAGAGAGAAGGAAAGTGAGAAAGCAGTTGGCGTAATGGCTATGTCGCTGGACTCCCATGTAGTCGACCGTGGTTCGAGTCCCGGACCCGATGACTTAAACTCACGCCGGGCACGTGTGCATGCGTGCCCAAGATCCCGAGAGGAGAATGGAGGAGAAGGGATTGCAGCGAGGCCATCCCCCCTGGGGGGTGATTTCTTGCTTTCTATCTCTCTGTCTCTGTCTTTATGGTGAGCGCACGCGCCCTGTAGCAAAATCTTCTCAAAAAAAAAAAAAGAAAGAAAGTAGGTTGCCAGGTCTGGGATTCGAACTGCGGTCAGCTGTGCGAGAGTCCAGCTGCCTTAACCACCACGTCAACTGCCACCACCTCCCCCATTCTGTTTCTAATCGCGTATGCTGGGGAAACTTCAGTTCCCAACATGAAGCCACTCGAAGGGCTGCCGGGGACAGGGTAGGCTCTGGCTAAATCGTGTTGTCTCTGGGGTATTGATTAGGGTGGATGCACTTTGGCCCCCATCTGTCCCTCGATAGGGGTCATGGAGGTGGAGATGTGTGAAAGCTTAGACAAACTCGAGGGGGCCAGCCCTGTAGCTCAGCTGTACCCCACATGGCCACAGTTGAAGTCCTAGCCCCGGGCGTGAGAAACACAACAGGTCTGTAATAGCCCCAGATCCCAGCCTGGGGGACACATGGAGGAAAGGGACTGCAGTGTGACCACGCCCCACCGAGGTCACCTTCTCCCTCTCTGTGTCTCTGGAGGGTGCATGCACCCTCTGACAAAAACAAACAGTAAAATCCAAAAAAAAAAGTTCAGGAAGTGGGACCAGCAGTTAGTGTAACGGTTACATCGCTGGACTCCCACGTAGTGGACCACAGTTTGAGTCCTGAACCTGGTGGCTTAAAAAATAATCTCACGCCGACTGCACATGCGTGCGTGCCCAAAATCCCGAGAGGAGGATGAAGGAGAAGGGATTGCGGCGTGGCCCTCCTCCCAGGGGTGTGATTACTCACTTTCTGTCTCTCTGTCTGTCTCTGTCTCTTTGGTAAGCCCACATGCCCTATAACAAAAATCTCTCTCTTAAAAAAAAAAAAAAAACTCGGGAGGAAAGCATGGGAGGAATTATTGATATTTTTCTTTCTTGTTTGTTTGTTTATTTAAATTTGACTAGAGAGAGAGAGAGAGAAAGTGGGAATACAAACTGCCAGGTCTGGGACTCGAACTGCAGTCAGCCGTGTGGGAGTCCAGTGCCCTTCACCACGGCACTTGTCGGCCCCAAGGACACCCTCGTGAAGACATTGAAAGT